ATGCTGTTTCCTCCCTTATTGTTCCACAAATTTGACGAGATAAGCAAGCAAGATCAAAAGGGCACATGATCAACCGCTCGGTGCAGTCAAATATCCTGGACAACAGATCCTTTCAGCTGGGGGGTACACAGTCGTCGTGACACAATATACCACAGGAATATGGAAAAGACAAGTGAAATCAATCATCACTCGATGAGATTACGACTTTTGTGAATGTCCGTTCATTTTTCTGCCCAGGATGCTGGTGGAAACCGAATAAACAGCTGTTTACACCGAGGAATAATCTTCAAGACCCGGTCAGTTTGGTCGTCATCTACTAGCTAGTCAAATGGCTCAAAGTGGAAAGCACAGACAAATAGGCTCCCAATATATCTGCCCTCACGCCATAAGATACCGAACTTTGAAAAGTTTTCAAAAGAATTTCCGGAAGCTGATGTCTTCTGCCTCCGGCGTTTGTGCTCTTCCCATCTAGATCCTTGAATTTCATTGACTATTGTAGTGTAAAGTGGCCTGTGTGCACCAGAAATCTCTTCACAAGCAACAAAAGTGCCTGACAAATTGAATACGAACTGGCCATTCCGTTTTGTTGGCGCTACAGTTTTGCTGTCTCTGATTCGGACTTCGGTTCCCATAAACCATAGCATGCATCAATTGTGACTATACAACATCAGTTGCTATCTCACTGCCATCGGTGCCTAATATAAACTATTCTCCGTCCGATGCGAATCGGGCAGATATAAGCATATTTGCTCTTCTGGTACATTAAACTCTTAACTGCAACACATTGCTAACGTGCTCTGCTCCAGAGAGCTTTACAACCAAGAATATGTTCGATCGTCCCATCCAAACACCTATCACGACCGTTGGAGAGAAACCAATATACTCGAGTTTACGGTGTAGAGGTGATCTGTTGGCCGATTGCCTCTGGTCTCAATTCTTTCAGCGCACGTTTTGGCTGGAATTCTGCGGTCTTGGTTTACAACCAACCCCTTACCCAACACAAACCTCAAAGCCAGGTCTCACCCAGAATATGGTTGTGTAATCTTTCTCCTGCTGTTGTTCAGCGGAGCCTGATGAGCGCACGACACGATAAATTTCCAATAGGATACGTGGGTATCTTACTTACTAGAACAGCACTGGGCCCATCAGCTCAACCAAGAGCTCACCCAAATCCCATTTAATTGACACCGGACACGTAGTCGAACCGAACGAGACGTTTCACGTAATTTACCGTGTACCTGCCACCGTTGATCCAACAGTGTCACTCGATTACAGCCGGGGCAGTCACTGTACGTCTTCGAAACCCGGTATTATGCTGAGCCTGCCTTGGTCATGTGACATGAATCCAACGACCAGTCTCACAGTGGCACTCCAGACTCACAGCATCCAATGAAATGCGACGTAGAGTACGCAGACAACCAATCGTTCGTGTGTCCACGATTTTTATTCCACCAACCAATCATTTTTCACCCTTATTTTAACCGTGGGATAGATACTGACCTGACGACGGGCGCTCAGTGTTCGCACAACGGAATGGAATTTTTGAACGCTATGACGGGTCCCTGATGAAATAAAGTAATCGGGCAACTGAGTTGAGCGTAATAGTCCAAGCTTTCGAGCCCTATTCAGGCACCCAGGGTCTCAATGATGCGGTGGAATTATTCCACCAGACTTATCCGCCAGAGGTATGGTCGCTCCAGTGGATAATGGAATTTGGTGAGCCGCAAAAATATAAAATGTAGATCAGAAAGGTTTTGGTTCGAGCATATAGGCAACAATACGCGACATTTTGGCGCAAAAGTTTTACTTCTTTCTTAAAGGTTTTGCAATTAAGAGCATTGTGCGGCTAACGGGCTCCCTTATGACGATGAGGTATCTAGGTTCTGAAGAACGTTTGCTGAATAAAACAAACTCTCATGGCTATGCGCCAGCTGAGGCCAAGAATGTTTAACTTACGTGCTAACAACGACAGTGGCATCTGGACAACAAACTTTGGTGTTGTGATGGGACCACATGAAGCCTGCAATGTACACTACTTTTGGAGTGTACTTCTCAGTAGATCAAATGTCACCAGCCAATGCAAGTCGAATAAGAACCCGGTGAACACTATTTATGTGAGTAGCGTGTGTTCGGTTTGAACTTACATGCTGGGCTTACATGGAGGGAATTTACTTAGCCACGATCAAGACACCGATCAATTATGCTGACGCTCGCAATACACGTCACGATCGTTCAGAACAATGAATCACGTCAGTTGACGAGACTGTTGTGGTTATATCACAGCTGCAAAGCAGGAGGGACGGAGGTAACATGTCTACATTGATCCCCTAGCCGATGGGGCGCTACGCTACGCCACCAGGATTAACGCCAGTCAGTTTACGCTGACGAAGGAAACACTGTATACCCAGATGGAACACAATGCTTATCAGGTTCCTGAAAACTTTTTGACAGTCCAGGGCCGATTTTGTCCTCGTTCGGGCTCATAAAATAGGCGCCGCACCCGTGCTTTCCTCAGTCTTATGTTCTACTCTAATTGCAAACTTTCGAATGTAACACTCGGCGGCCTTGGGTAGCGTATTCGTTCGATGGACACTGGAATAAACCAGAGATTCGGCTGTACTCGGTTGCAACTCCCGTCAAAATTCGGGGAGCACGTTTCCTTTGATATGCCTGTCCTATCCATGCTAAGGTAACTAGGGTGGGACAATGATCGAATTTTGTTGCAGTTTCGAACATGAATTTCATCGGTGCTTGCGTTAGTCGTTGCACGCGTGTATTTTTGGCCAAAAATGGGACAACTTAGAATTTAGGTTTGAAAATGTGAGAAAACAAAACGTATTGTTTGAAATAACACAGTTGTTATAGGGTGATACTGCGCACACAATGCTGTCATCGATCGGCAGTAGGAATGCGCCCAACGAATCCACTGAGGTGTTTTTGTTCAATCCAGGATGAATGTAAAAACGACTCATTTCTGGTGGCTGATTGACCGTCTGATTCGCAGTTCGGTCACGTAATCGCAGCGATTACCATAGTTGTGTCGTATTTCACGCTGATGAGAGAAAGCTTGGAGCGCGTCGAAGTATCTAGACCCTCACACAGTAAACCGAGTGATTGTTCTCATATCAAATGGACCCGTCAAACCTAATCTTACAGGCCAATTATCAATGACTAAACACCGCAGGTTACTCTGGCAGACAACATCGTTTCAACAGTTCAGTGTGCTCGCCTCATCAAGACCAGCATATGACGACGGTGATCTTGCAAGGGCTGGGCCTTGATAAATGAGCTGCAGTTAGCCAACACTCTTGGTTTTTTGTTGGTGGCCTTCACAGCCTGTCCCTCACGGTCCAGGTAGAAATTGACGATGCTTGACGTCACAAGAAAACCGTTTGTCCGCCTGAGATGAAATATGAATGAGTTTGTCAACCTGAATCCCCCAGAAATTCAAGAAAACACAAGCAACGAAGTTCAAACAGAAAAAGACCCAAGTTAACGAACACCGTTTCTTTGGAAACAGTCTGGGAGTTCTGGTCCTAATGTTCAACTTCGGTCTCTTCTGGTTGGATGATCTGGCCCAAGTTTTTCCATTCTTATTTGGCAGCATCAAGCGAATTTCCCCATTCCTTGTTGGAGAATTCTCCGTATTATGCATATACTGGCCAAATCAAGTCATTCAGGTGGATAAAACAGAACTTCATCATCATCAACAGCATGACATCAGTGTTAGACATCGATGCTCCACTGCCGTACAACCACGATTTATTTGAAAGCCTTATTGTAAAGAAGAGAATAAAGGTGGATGAGGAAGGGGCTTAGTGCCAGCTTACCACAATCATTCCAAGGTGCCTACACCTCCAGACATTCACTCAGGCAATCTGGATAGAAACTGACAACAAGAGCGCCACTGACGTCGGCTGGCAGCCATATCTTGTAGTGTCTCCAACCAGGTACAGTGAGGATCACGCGGTACCCATCCCGGAAGGCGAGTTGCATCGACAGCACCCAAGCGTCTCGTGACCTCCTTCATTCTCCTCAGTTATGCACTCGGTCGTTGTGTCTGAATGAGATCGGGCCCTATTTTTTGTTCCTTTTTGTCTTTTCGTGGAACAGGAGATGACATCAACAGTTCTTATTGTAACTCGCTGTCAACAGGTTGTGGATGAGCATGGTCTAGTGTAAATTGAGAATACCCCACTTGTTCCGTAACTGAGTAAAACTATTGTCAAACTGTGAAGTTGTCGCCATTTCTGGCTGGTCATTCGGACGCCATCATCTTCATTTGTAAAGACCACGTACTTGTTGTACAGTAGTTATATCTGCCATAGTTTTGTTCGCCGATGGATAGATGGCCACATATTGGAGGAGATAGCTGACATGACTTATGTCAGTGGACTTTTAGTTGAGAAGACTTGGAGGGGAGCCATGAATTCAAGGCAATAGCTTGGATGCATAAGCGCCATTGAGGGCGCGCCTGGGCCATCTCTGACAGTACCTCTAACCACTGATATGTCCGGTCTCGAGGTTCTCGAAGATGTCAATGCCCAGCGTAGCTGAGTTTACAGGCAATGACCTTCATGCTTCGCTGCCTTCGGAGAAAGTCGATCGACTGAACACGTGACCAAAACAGCACAACCTATGTAGTGTGGTGAGCTCGTTCCGAAAACTATTCAACGCACTTCAGTATTAATGAACAACTGTTCCCCCACTTGACAGTCCAATGACAATGCTAGATTTATGCACCAAGTTATCAGCTCCCGCCTGGAATGCGCAACTACCTACCCCACCTCCCCCAATCATCGGTAAACAAAACTGCGGCAGCTACAACCACTGTACGACGAGTACGCGGTTATTACAGCTGACAATGATGATGTTCTCACCAAACTCGGATAATCCTTCGAAGACATCAACCGTCAAATACTGAAAGTTTCTCGACGTCCTCAGCGCGCAGCAGCCATGTTTCTAACCTGTATCATTAGGCGCACCGCAGCATTGTAAACTCAACCCTTATTGGACAAATTGATGTCACACCTATGCCACAGGTGATGCAGGTTCACAAGAACTGCTCTGGCCTTCCCAGTCCGGACGCAAATATCGTCTTTGGCTAGAACACCGAGACTGATACAGCTGGGTGTTTCGGACAATAAACCCGATCTCGTTCAATCACGTGGTGGCGACCAGCAGAATAAACTACAAGCCCTAACGAGCTAAGTTACTTTTCGGTCAAAAGTAATCTCGCTCCTTGTTAACTGTGAAAAATTCCCAATGAAGAATCTGAGCCTGAAGGAACTCTTTTTTTCGAGAAAGAACAATCATTGTATCTCAAATCGCTAAGTTCCCTCCCCCATACACCCATGAGTATGCCAAATTTTGTTGGGCTATTGCTGTTTCGCAGAGAAATTTTTTGAGATATCATTCCTTCCAATCTTAGCAAAGAATCTGAAAACGAAAGACGACAGACCCACACTGTGGTCCAGCGTTGTTCCCGAAAGTTGGAAACCGTTTCCAAACTCTAACTGCTGATGTAACAGGAAGGAAAACAAATCCACTTTGTTTTGGATGCTTTCAGTTCTCACCACAAATGGATGATAGCTTCAACGGATATTCAGAAAAGCCGGGGGAGTCAACATATGGTATCCGACCTAGATGGTCCTTGTGCTAAGAAATGGGGTGAAGACTCCCGGAAAGAAGACAATTCAAGTTCTTGATGATCGTGGTTTGTGACTGCAGGACTGCACCAAATAGCGTGAACATTGCTCAAGTACCGATACTCATTGCCAACGTCAAAAACGAGTCCAACATTCAAGTATTCCAGTCTTTTCATCAGATCAGAAACTGTTACGAAACATTTGCAGAGGTGTTGTTTGGGGGTGTCAGTCATGGGTTGTTCTTGTTTGGTAATTCTGAAAGAGAATGCCGTCTCTCAAAAAAAAGCAGGTGGAAGCTCTTGGCTTCTCAAAGTTACGAAAGACTGGAGACGAAATTTGCCAAACTACTGTGTTCCTCGCTAACTACTAGACAGAATATGGCTGTATAGCCACTGTAACGAGCGAACGGTATCTTCGAGTGACGCGTACTACCAGAACGCCCGGGAAGGCAAAACAAATTCGGGGCTGGGTTTCTATACGGTACTATTAATGTAGGACAAATTCACAAATTATACAAACCTCGACACTAGATACTCCTCAAAAACAAAAGGTCCCCTTGGAGTACAAAAGTACAAAGCAAAGGAGCAAACAGGCTCCAATGTGAGACAGTCGCACGTGCACAAAGCCGGTCACGAATGGCCGGACGACCTCAAGGCCAAATGAGTGAAGTGGTAAGGACAAACAAACGTCAGTTCATGTACACGCACTAAACACAAAAGGGGATCGGGGGTTACAAATAGGACAGAATAAACGTGGTGAATTTCAGTTGTCAACGTAATGGATGATACGGTCACTTTTTTGAGGTATCAAACTGTGCTTCGAAATTCATTGACTTCAGCTGCCGCAGCTTCGTTCATCGAGGTTGGTTGCTGGGTGGAAATATCCACCAGCGCAGGAAATCCACGAATCAAACAAGATAAAATTAAACACTAGTTCATCTGTTGGATTCCGTAGGGTGGAGCGAATCAGCGTACTACCAAAGAGCCCCATCTATCGAGGAATTTCGAACCTAAGCAATTTTTCAGCGGTTCACACCGGGCAGGGATATACAGGGCTCTGTCGTGAACCAGTCCTCAACGGAGTATTGCACTCCATGATCTGGGATACCTTAGTCTAACGCCAAAAACTGTTATTAGCCCTGTGGTCATGCAATAGCTTCTCTGAATACCGTGGGACCTGACGAAGGAGATCCCCTCCTGGAATAGAAGCCACATTCGGATGAGTCACCCAAATATTTAGTGGTAGGTAACGGTTAGATTGGTCATTGGTTGACTGTTGAATTCGAAAATACACTCACTTGCACATCAATTTGGTTTCCACGAGAGATTCAACTGAATCTCTCGTTTGTGATGTCCTTCAACTGAGTGTGCTACACAAACGGTTCAAAGAGAACAGAGAGTTGACGGAAACTCGGAGACTGTACC